GTCATAATCCAGGTGGTCCTAATGAGGTATGCCCAAGCTGATTTGTCTAATTTCCAAAAATTGTTTTTTGCATGCAGCATCTGAAAAATGTACGACTGCTTTGGATGTTGAGGCTATCACTGATAAGATCTTTGATAAGATCTGCTCCAGAGGCTATCACTGATAAGATCTTTGAGAACACGAAAACAATAACAGAATACTTGATTGCTGAAGATCTACCAAATGTTTGTCTTGCTTCCCTAGAACAACAATTTTCATCTTTCCACCTCTAACTTAATCTTTTCAACATGTTGCATTATCCAGGTAGCCATCAGTACAACTGGTGTTGCAAATTTTACGGTGCCGAGAGACAGTTGGATGTTGAGGTTTTTGATTCAGCAAATGACTATGTGAAATTGATGAAGTAAGTTATTCGTCAAGTTAATGTGCTTTACCTAATATATATTGGCTAGCAATATCATTTAAATGGTGATCTTTGTTCTTCTCTTGAATCCTTGTGTATCTGCTTTGATTGGAAATTGCTATTTATTATTACGATTTAAAACTTAAAAGCTTCTCAGAAGGTGCAACTATCCGGCTCTAAATCGAGCCATGCGAAAAGGATTCGTCAAAAACTGGAAGAGACTCCCAAGAAGCACTTGCTCCTCTCGTGAGCATCCTTGAACTTTTCGAAATTGTCTGGTGTTCCAGATTCCTTGCACATTATAGGCTGACTCATTGCGTTTGACACCAGGTGGAGGTTGCTCTGAAACTTTCCAAGATGCAGGAGTTCACCGGCCGATCCGCACCTACAGTCATCACATAGACTCATACTGCCAGAAACTGCTGTCCGATACGAGGCGAAGCACCGCTTTTGAGGAAAGTAAACATGAACAAACCGGCTTAGACTACATTAGAGCATCGTAATTGACAGATGATGATGCTCATCAAAATTTTCGAAAGGGTTCATAAAATAATTTGAATGTTATTGACGCCTATACTCCCTATCTTTTTGGTTGAATTGTTGCCTAAATCTCATTTCTAGATGGTATGGTGATTTGGCTTGGATTTTAAATTCTGCTCGTGAAATTGAGAAAACTCTAGTATATCAGAAAATAATCCTAATAAATTTATTTTCTATTAAAATCTAGGGTAAACTATGTATTTAGTATCTAAACTATCAGTTTTGGTTCGTTTTAGTACCTACACTTTTAATTTTTTCAAAATTATGTCTAACGTTTAGTTTTAAAAACATAAAGTGTTTTAGTATCTAGACTATCAATTTTGGTTTTTTTAATACCTAAACTTTCAATTTTTTTTAAAAAAAAATCAACATTAAATTTTGAACAGGGGTACTAAAATGAAATTAAATTAAATTTTAGGTATGATTTTGTTAAATTAAAAGTTTAGGTACTAAAACAGATCAAAATTGATAGTTTAGATGTTAAACACATAATTTACCCTAAAATCTAATTAAATACGGTTTGAAATTTTACAGTTTTGTACCCTTAAATTTATAATATAAGTTTCTAAGTACATCCCTTAATATGGAGTCTTATATCTGTCTCTGCTTATGTTAGAAGACTTAGTGGAATGGAATAGTTAAATTCTTTGTAATTGATTGATGTATTGATAATGAAGTAATATAAAGTGTAAACTAAGGTTATCGAAGGAAAAGAAGTAGGAAGAGATAAGAGATGTTTCGATAATTATATAAAAATAATAATATAAAATGATGAAGTGAAAGGGATAACAAAAGCTGAGGCAGCCAAGTATTGCTCAGGTGCTAAAACTAATTAATTAACCAAACTTGGCTTTATTATTACTAATATTATTATGGGATGTCTAAGGAAATGCAACCCCTCAACACTAGTGTTGGAACTTCTCAACGTCTTAACGGAAATTGACACTCCCCCCTTCCAATTTCTTTCATGATTTCAACTTCTCGAAGAATACTTTTCGAAACTTCTCCACTAATGGAACTGATAAAAACAAGCGTTGGTAAATATTGACAGAAAGAAAAAAAGATGTCAAATCTTTATGTTGATGGATAAACAAAGTATTGACATGTATGATGGTTGTTGTTCAAAAGTGCATGCATAAATTATTCCCATTTTTAAACGTCTTAAGATAAAAGGTTTTGAACGAATCAAGCGATATCGATGATAAAAAAAATTGTTGTTATTATTTGAGGTATCGGGTTCAAGCACCAAGAATGTCAGGGGTATGAGAATTCAATGACAAATGGTTAAGAGTCACCTTGTACTTACCCAGATTAATCAAAATAAATAAATAAATAAAGGGTTAATTGTATCATCTGTCCTCAACTACGATTCTTGTTCCAAATTGGTCCCTAAGCTTCTAAATATTCTAATTTCATCCATAAACTATGACGATCATTCTAAATTGGTCCTGAAACTTTTGAACATTTTAGTTTCATCCCCAAACTATATCCTTTGTTCTAATAATGTTCAGCACGAACCGAGCGACCCCAGTGGTAAAGGAATTATTGTTATTCCTTGAGGTCCCGGGTTCAAGCACTAGGGGTGTGAGTGTCCGCGTTCAATGTTAAATGGTTGAGAGTTATCTTTGAACATATATTGCCTTGTACTTACCCCAAATTAATAAAAAAAAATTAGAATGCTCAAACGTTTGAGCACTAATTTAGAATGAGTATATTAGTTTGAGGATAAAATTATAGTATTCAAAAAGTTTAAGAGGCCAATTTAGAATAAGGGGTCATAGTTTGGGGACATACGATGTTAATTAACTCTAAAATAAATAAAAAACAATTTACACAAACTAAACAATTAGTGGTCAAAGGACTTGTTATTCCTTAAGGCCTCATATTCGAACACCGTATATGCTAGAAATATGAGTATTCGTTATCAAATGAATGAATATTTTTTAACATATATTATCTTGTATTTATATAAATTAATAAAACAAAAAAACAATTTTAATATTTGCAGTGTAATATTGGCACTAGACCAATTCCCTTCAAATATGGCCTCACACTTCTATGGGCTAAATCCTCAAGCCGCTAAAGCCTAATCCATCTCCTTTAAAAGCTCATCTTTATTCTTTGAATGTTATTATTTAATATATTGTTAATAAAATAAATAAATTTATTAATAAGATTAAAATTATGTCAAATATTATTTAAAATTTATTTAATAAAATTTAAAAATAAATAATAAAATATTTCAAACTAACAAGGAAAATGTTAAAAAACTAACCAAATAATTTCAGATAAAAAGTATATACAAATAGATCTGATTGCATCTCAAACTAACTACAAAAAAGAGATGAAATTGTTGAAAAGCCACCGACAAATCGTAAATTAGAATTGAGCGACGTGAAAATACTATCAACGAATGTAATTCGCGTATCCAAATCCAATATAAGGATACAAAGCAAAGAAAATCAACATGATAACAAATAAAGCGTTATCTTTATCAATCGTAGCGATTTCAAATCTAACCCTAAAAAATAATAAAGAAATATAACAGTCAATTGAACAAGAACGTGCCATAAAGATAAAATAAAATGTGCGGAAAAACAAAATAGGTCCCCACAAATTGTTGAAATTCCATAGATGAGAGGCGCATGGCCTATCTGATTACCAAATTTTCTTGCCCCAATCCCCTTTGTTTTCTTTTTATGCATTGAAGTGCCTTCATTATTGGCTTTTTTACCTTTTGCCCCCTAAAGTTTTGCCATTGTTGGTTTTTTGAGAACCTTTATCACGGCATTTAGTCAATTTTGATACCCCAAAAACTGATCTTTTGCTATTAGTGACATGATTGGCTCTGAATTAGCGGGGATTAAGAACTACTGGTAAAAGATGATTGCATGCTTGTCCTTTTGATTGAATCGAGGACTAGTTATATCGTAATACTTAGAGATAATTGCACAGGTGTCCTCAAACTCTGACCCCATTTTTATTAGGTACCTAAACTTTGAAATATTTTAAATAAGTCTATGAACTATAACTCCCATTTTAAATTATCCCCCAACTTTAAAACATTCTATTTCAGTCCTACAATTATTAATGTTATTTCATTTTGATTATCCCATTAACTCTTTCTATTGATGTCTATTAATAAGTCTTAGAAATTGAACTTATGACCTTAAAAAATTCTCGGATCTTAGAAATAAATGATATTGTGTTTAGAAGGTAAAGGTTTCCATTCTCGTTACCTTAAAAAACCAAATTAATGTTTTTAGAATGTCACGAGTTTAATTCTTATGACCTTTAAAATCTAATAGAATTAACGACATGTTAACGTGATGATAAAGATTTGCCCGTCCAGCTCAGTTGGTAGAGCGCAAGGCTCTTAACCTTGTGGTCGTGGGATCGAGTCTCACGGTGGACAATTCATAATTGCTGGAGGCCTTTCACGGAAGTTGCTCTCAACCTAACGTTAGGGGCAGCCTACTACCCTGCCTCCCCCTTACCCCATTACATATGAGAATAGGGTCAATTAATTTTTTAACATAAAAAATTAAATTAAATTTATAATATATATTATTATTCAATAAAATTAATCTTATGAGTAAAAGAATCTAAATTAAATTTAAAAATTTAATTTAATTAAAATCAAATCTAATTTCGAGTCTAAATTTTTTTGGGATTATATCAAGGTTTCTTAAATCTTAAATTCAATTTATTAAATATTATAAAAATATTAAATTTAAAACATATATTTAAAAAATAACATAAACAATATTTATTAATATGGATGAATAGAAAGTAATACATGTCCACCTCTAATAAGGCGGTGTCCACATGTGCCTTTCATTCTTCCCTCACACCGTCGAACGGACGGGCCAAACTCGGATCCAAATAATCCGATCCAGCCATTTACCCGGTAAAGGCACCGGAATCCCAATTTCTGCCACTCATGTTTCTCCACGTGGCATATTCCCAATGGTTGACACTCTGGTATCCAATGACACTTTTTTAGTATAAAAAGCCACGTTGGCCAGACGCTTTGCTTAGCCGTATTAGCTGAAGTGAAACAAGAAAACTAATGGCGCGAAAATCGTTCTCGTCTCCGGTGATTTTCCCGGCAGTTCTCGCCGTTTCGTTTGCTTTACTCCTCTTTGCTACTCACGTCGTATCCGCCCATGATTACCGGGATGCTCTCCGGAAGTGCATTCTCTTTTTCGAAGGCCAACGATCCGGTAAACTCCCACCGGACCAACATCTCAAATGGCGTCGCGATTCCGCATTGCTCGACGGCTCTACTGCCGGCGTACGTGTTCACTTCCGGCATTGTATATTTTCGTTTCTGGAAATCTCTAGTTAAATCGTTAATGGCATTTGATTTTCCCCTTTTTTTTCAGGTGGACTTAACGGGAGGTTACTATGATGCCGGGGATAACGTCAAGTTCGGGTTCCCGATGGCGTTTACGACGACTCTATTAGCTTGGAGTATCATTGATTTCGGGAGGAACATGGGCCCGGAGTTAAAGAACGCCGTTAAAGCCGTCAGATGGTCGACGGATTATCTGTTGAAAGCAACGTCGAAGCCAGGAGTGGTGTACGTTCAAGTCGGAGATGCGTACTCGGATCATAGCTGCTGGGAGAGGCCGGAGGATATGGACACGCTTCGCACGGTGTACAAAATCGACAATGCGCATCCTGGTTCGGATGTCGCCGGCGAAACCGCCGCTGCATTGGCCGCCGCATCCATCGTGTTCAAGTCTCGTGATCCCGCTTATTCCAGGTTCCTCCTCAATCGAGCCTTTAGGGTACGTCACTGTCCGTAGCAATTACATAGTATTTTATTATTTCTACTATAAACATTAACTTTATAAGATTCCACAATAAAAAATTAGGGTAAATTATGCATTTAGTACTTAAACTTTTAATTTTTTCAAAATCATACATCTAAATATGTTTTATTTTAGTACTTATGTTCAAATTTTAACGTTAAATTTCGAAAAAAAAATTAAAATTTTAAGACTAAAATAGATAGTTTAGATACTAAACATTAAGTTTGATTTTGAGAAAATTAAAAGTTTAATCATTAAAACGACTAAAATTGATAATTTAGATACTAAATGTATAGTTTACCCTAAAAATTAAGTTATCTTAACCTTGTTGCCGCCAAAACGTGTATTTTTTCTTTTACGTTTTCACCGTGGTCAGTTGGTAATGTACATTATTGACGGTGCAATTAGTGTATTAAATGAATGAATAGTAGTTTGTTTGCGGGTTATTATGGTAAAACTTAGGCGGGTAACAATGAATTTTTACTGTAGGTGTTCAACTTTGCTGACAACCACCGTGGCGCCTACAGCAGCAGCCTGGACGCTGCAGTTTGCCCTTTTTACTGCGACGTGAATGGCTACCAGGTCAGATTAAACATCCTTTTTTACAGTCAACATGAACCGCTGGATTATAATTTTTATAATTTTTTTGCAGGACGAATTGCTTTGGGCAGCTGCCTGGTTGCACAAAGCCTCGAGGAGGCGCGGATACCGAGAATACATAGTGAAAAACGAGGTCGTATTGAGAGCCGGAGATACCATTAACGAGTTTGGATGGGATAACAAGCATGCTGGGATTAACGTCCTCATTTCCAAGGTAAAATCAATCCCTGGATTATGGATCTGATTATGTTTAGTATATTATAATGTTTCTCTAGTGCAGTTTTCTTATTCTTCTTGTCCTGTGTTCTTTGTTGGAGAATGTAAGCATATATTAGTATTATTTTCCCGAGTATGTAGAAAATATAGCTCAGTGTCACGTGGCTGGGGACTAAATTTGATAATTTTTCCCCGTGGACCTCACATTTTGTGGGGTTCTTCTCCCTTTTTTTAAAGACTTTCAGAACATCTGAACAGTTTGCAAGCTGTGAGATCTTGGACTTATTATCAAGTTCACGAGTTCTTCCCCAGATTTTCAAACCAAAGTGCGGTGCTAGTTAGATTGTCATACTTTATAGCTAGATGAGATATGATGAAAAGAGTGAATATTAGGGAAGAATATAGAATTTTATATCAGGGTGTGTTATAAAGTTACCATCGTTTTTCGTCATTGATCTTTACATATTGGAGTGTTAGTTCATTGTGCTGACGTGACAACAGTCTGTCTATCATATTTGAGCTATCAATTTATCCTATATATCATGTCATCTTAGATTGGTACGTCAGCTCAGTAACGATTAACGACGAAAAAACCGTTGTTCTTTAAATACTAAAAAGATCAACATAAATCTGTGTGTTTTGATGGAGTGGATCCATGGTTGGTTGGTATGGTGTTGTACTTTGTTTCCTCAATCATAAACCAAATTCATATTAGTCTTAGAGATCTGGCTTCTCTCAGTGGGTCCCCAATTAGTAAACTACTGCTAAATGCATGTGCCTGAAGTAAGGGGCAACGGTTCCCTATCATAGCTTTCCTATTATGTGCATGAACTTTGTATGTAACAAAAACAAAAAAACAAAACCAAGTTGTTATGCATGATGTACCAGGAAGTGCTGATGGGAAAAGCCGAGTATTTCGAGTCTTTCAAGCAAAATGCCGATGGTTTCATCTGTTCTTTATTGCCTGGAATTTCTGATCCTCAAGTCCAATACTCTCCTGGTAAAGAAAACAAATCAAATGGTTTCTTTCTTTGCACATTGGACATGATTAGGTTTGTAATTAGCTGCTAACTAAGAAACTAACCCTTTTGAAAGGTGGGTTGATCTTCAAACCCGGAGGGAGTAACATGCAGCATGTAACGTCGCTGTCTTTCCTACTCTTGGCTTACTCTAATTACCTGAGCCACGCCAATAGGGTGGTGCGGTGTGGCGAAAGATCGGCCTCCCCCGACCTTCTCAAACAGTTGGCTAAACGCCAGGTGATGTTATAAACATTTCTTTTATATTTTTTTATTGATGGTCTAATTGCGTACGTACTTTTAAATTTCAGGTGAACTACATTCTCGGAGATAATCCGCTAGGAATGTCCTACATGGTCGGGTACGGCTCGCACTTCCCTCGGAGGATTCATCACAGGGGCAGCTCGTTGCCCTCCGTGGCGACACACCCGGGTCGGATCGGCTGTAAGGCGGGGTCGCCGTATTTCTTGAGTCCGAGTCCGAACCCGAATTTATTAGTGGGAGCAGTGGTGGGTGGGCCTAACGTGTCGGATGCTTTTCCGGATTCGAGACCTTATTTTCAAGAGTCGGAGCCCACAACGTACATCAATGCACCGCTTGTGGGAGTATTGGCATTCTTTTCAGCTCACCCTTGAATTTCTCTGCCCTCTAATGTGGAAGGATGATGATGAAATTGGAAGAGGGTGTGCGAGAATCGGTCACCCTGCCCTATTATTATAGATGAACATGGGTCGAGTCAGATCGGATACCGTGCCCATCCCTTCCTATTTTTGTGAAAAAAATAAGACTCAGTTGTTCCCAATTAACCAAGAAAGTTGAAGCCCTAAATCCTATAGATTGCATCTCTCTCTTTTTTTTTTTCTTTGGGCAAATCTCAAATATCCCAATTAACCAACAAATGATTATTCGATTATAGAATATTATTTTATTAAGTCTATCGATTATTTAAAATTACAAAACAATAATTCAATTATAGAATATTGCTTTGTTAAGCCTCTTGACTATTAAAAGTTAATAAATGATCATCCAACTATTCATTTTGTTCCAAACTCGTTCTTTTCTATTAAAAACATTGGTGGTTGTCTAAGCTGGACATTAACATGTTGATTGGGATATGACAGTCGTTTGAGATTCTGAGATCATATCACACTTGACAGGTTAACGTTCAACTCAGAATATCATCAATTTCTTAACGGAAAATGACAAGTTTGAAACATAATGAATAATCGAGGGACCATTTTGTAACTTTTAATAGTCGATAGACTTAACAAAACAACACTCTATAGTCGAAAGATCATTTTATAACTTTTAATAGTCGAGTGACTTAATAAAATAGAACGTCACAGTCAAGGGATCACTTGTATAGTTTACCCTAAAATTAAATTAATCAAAATTTATAACCGTTAATCAAATCATTTTTTTAAAAATTATTAACCAAACCGTACAATAGTCTATTAATTAATCAATGACTGTATTTGAATTCAAGTCAAGTTTTAACCAATGATATAAGATTCTTTATATTCCTTTTGAAATATCAAACACATTTTGTAATATCAATTAGGGATAAGCATTCGATCGAATCAAGTCAAAAAGTTTTGAGTTATTCAAGTTGACGAGTCTTAGTTCACAACTCGAAGCTGACTTAAATTTTTTTATAGTCGAGTTGAATTTTCGAGTTTCTCTTTAAATTTAACTGCAAATATTTATAATATTATTTGATTCTAATTTAAATAGTTTTTTATATCCATAAACAATACATATATATTTTTTGATATTTATTTTCATATTGATATACATATGACATACAATGTTGAAGGAATCGACATAAATTTGAAAATCAATCCACTAATTACTAAAAAAATTCGAGTTACTATTTTAAAGTTATTCGAGTAGTATTTTACAACTAGATTTGAACTTGAAATTTTTTCGAGTCGAGTCGAGTTTATGAAATTATAACTCAGAATCAATTTGAGTCGAGTCGAAAAATTGATTTTTTTTTAATTAAATCGGATTTTACTCACCCTACTATGAATAGAAAGAATTTAAATTAATACATTTTGAATCTTTGATCATAACCGCGATTCACAAACATACATATTTTTGAACTCAAATTGCAAGTCCGTCATCGAACAAAGACACTGAATAAAAAGATGATATCAATGCAGCAATCTCATCATAATCATCATCTATCTATTCATCCATTTCCCAACCGATAGAGCCACTGTCGGCCACTGGGTTGTGTTCCACATTTGCATGCCAACCTACGTACATATAACCCCACAAAATTAATGACATCAAACAACAAATTAACATCATCATTAACGATATACACATGCATAAGCGTAATTAAAATTAGGGTTTAATGTAGCTCCCGATAGCCATGTCGAATCCACGGTTCTCGAGCTCACGATACTCTTGAGTCAAGGCACAAGTCTCGCACCAGAAATGGCGCACGCAATCGCAGCACTAGCTTCCGGTCAAGTTATACTGCGTTCTGAGTTTGGATCGGTAGAAGCAAGAATACAATCTCGGAAACCCCGTCACGAACCGTCACGAAACATATAAAGCCGTATAATTTCTCTTTAATCACTTGCAAACTTAAGGTTATAAAGATTCGAACTTTTAGAGTTGAATTACTCACAAGTTGATCCTCTGTCAGCGATCTCGGAGATCTGACCAAAAGTAATGCATGGACAGTAGCAAGCAATGCAACCTGAAAGTTCAAAACCTAATTCATATGTGTTTGAAACGACAGAGCTGATCATATAAAAGAAATAAAAAAAGGGCTTACATGTTTTTATGTCGGATAAACAATGGCAGAATCCGACGGGCCATAGAGCATGTTCTCGAGGCTCTGAAATTGTTGAGGAGTTTGTGCAGGTAGGTTAAACCAGATAGAAATGTATGGAAAAAGGATGAATTAGGGTTCTTTTATGGATATTTTCTTATAAATTTTCAAAGAAAAAACAATGTTGTCCTTTGTTAATTAGGTTGTCGGATTTTTTTGGTGAAGACAGCAAGTCATGTTAGATGGTCTAATCAGGTTTCAAATCGTGGTCGCGGTCGTTTTTTCGTTCATTTCAATTTACCGTGATTGTGGCCGTCGCGAGCGCTATTAGACACTGTTACGGGTAACTCGGACGACGGCGAAGCCGTAATTTCATGAACGAAACCACATTTTCAAAACGTGATTTGAAACTCTGGTCTCAATAATCGGTACGAAACAGACAGTGATTTTTAACTGTTTATATATATGAGGCCATGTATAGTCTATTTCGACGTTAGTTATAACCTAATTACTCGTTATAAACTTTTTTATGGGTTTCAGTTTATCAGGATTCATGAAATAGCATGAAGAGTGATTTGAAATATTTTCGACTATTATCAATTTTAGATAATATTTTTCTAGGGTAAATTACACAAATGGACCACCGACTATAGGGTACTATTTTATTTAGTCCACCGGCTATTAAAAGTTACAAATAATCATTTGATTATATAGTGTTACTTTGTTGAGTCCCTCGACTATTAAAAGTTACAAAATGGTCACTCGACTATTCATTATGTTCCAAACTCGTCATTTTTGTTAAAAAATTGACGATATTCTGAGTTGAACGTTAACATGCTGATTATGATGTGATAAAATATGGTCCAGAATCTCAAACGACTATTATATCCTAATCATCATGCTAATATCTAGCTTAGGCAACCGTCAAATTATCAATAGAAAAGGAAGAGTTTGGAACATGATAAATAGTCAAAGGATCATTTTGTAAATTTTAATAGTTGATGAAATTAATAAATTAATACTCTATAGTGTGGAATATTTATGTGAAACTTTCATTGAAACCTTATCTTTGATCTATTTTATATGAAACAAGAAAGAGTTGGTAAGGTCGAAAGTACCATTAGGCATTAACTTCAGCTAACGAATTATATGGTGAGCCACCAATAGGAAAACCCTTCTTTTCGGATGTTTTGCCGTACGCCTTCCTATTTTGCTTCCCAATTTGTCTCCTACCAATCATCCATGGACTGAAATTTTCCTCTCCCACTCGCCGGTTAACCTCCTTCACCGGCGCTTCATGGACTTCCGCGATGCTACCCTACATCGCGCTCCATTGCCGGTGTTGTAATCGATTCTGATAACCCGTTATAAGCTTCTCTTGTCCATGGTTGAACCGTAAGGTATTGCTTGCTCGTAGGTCATCCACGGTCCTTCATGCATAACTTAAGCAATGGAATTCCATCAACATCCTACACAAAACTACGCGCAATCGGCTGGCCAACAAAACTCGACACCCCCTCATCACTTTGTTCAACAAGCTCCGGCGACTGGTTTCCCCATTGCCTCAACGAACCACCAATATCCTCCGCAAACCTACATGCAACACGCCGGCCAACCAAACTCGGCACCCCCTCATTATGTTAATCCTCAACAAGCTCCGGCAACCAGTTTCCCCAGCGCCACAACCAACCACCATGTCTATTGCCCTTCCCAAAACTACATGCAACAGGATGGCCAGGTCCCTTGGTCAACCGGACTCTACGACTGCTTCTCCGATGTTCCAAACTGTAAGTTTTTTAAACCAGACCCATCATTGTAATGTTTTTATCAGTCACTAATTCGATTCAACTCGAATTTCATAGGCTGCATCACATTCTGGTTTCCCTGTATCACCTTCGGACAAATTGCTCATAGAGTAGACCATGGCTCAGTCCGTAAGTTTAACCATCTTCTCTCATGATCGATTCCCAATATTTTCTATCCATAACCCATGGACAAATTACTCATTTATATCGTCGACCATGGCAGTTTGTGAAGCATGTGCGGCAATCTATTTGGTCATCAGAATGTTCACACGGTTCCATTGCATCTTCTCCTGGTTCTATCGGTCCAGAATGAGGAGTCGATACATGCTGGAGGAGAGTCCCTGCAACGATTTGTGCGTTCATCTCTGGTGCGAGAACTGCGCCTTGTGCCAAGAATATCGCGAACTCAAGAACAATGGCTTCCACATGTACCACGGTAAATCATTGTAAAATCATCATCATGTGCACTGCGAGAATATTAAAGATACCGACGATTGTTTGATTATACGGAGGATGGCATGGAAACACGACGGGGCAGCAAAATCATGGTATGCCCATGCAACCAGCTCCAGTGATGGAAAGTGGCATGAAAAGATGAGACATGCTTGTTTTCACCAAAAGGAATTGGCCACAAAACAATACTACATAGTTTTACTTATTTTGTATTTAGGGTTTTGTAACTTTTGTTGCGGTAAAAATAATTGTCGGAAAATGATTCGTGTACAATGAGGTAATTTTCCCCTGAAAATATGAAGTATTTTCTAATGATATTATATGTAAAATATTTTTTGTTATTAGATAAAATTTTTAAAAGATATTAATTATGAATATTAAATATAATAAATAATATTATTATAAAAATTCATATAAATTTTTTTGTCCCCTTTTCTCCTTTTCCTTCATTTTAGCTTAGGGTAAATTATAAATTTCATCATTGAACTTTATTCTCTCTCCTATTTTGCTCACTGAATTTTAATGGTTCTCTATTTCTCGTTGAACTTAATATATTGGATTTTTTTTGTCACTAAAATTTTCTCACTCTTTCTTATTTTAGTCACTCACTTGTTAAATAGTTAACGACGTTAAAACGATGTTGTTTTTAAAAAAATAAATTTTCATTAAAACAACATCGTTCTGCATCTATATAACAACCTATTTTAGCGCCGTTGACTATTTAACGATTGAGTGACAAAAAAATCAAATGTATAAAGTTTATTGAGAAAATTGAAGAGATTTAAAGTATAGTGAGTGAAATAGGAGACAGAGTAAAGTTTAATTATCAGATTTGTAATTTACCCTTTAACTTAATATATACCCGTAATGGCATTACGTCGTCGGCGGCATATGGCTGCTCCGTACCTTGTTTTGCTGGATTCCAAACACTGTTAATGGACCCGATTCATACGGTGAAGACGTGTTATTTCTCTAGTTATTTAAGTCTTCAGGTTGCGTTGTAAAACCCGTCATCTCTTTTTCCTTCACTATTAAAAGTTGTAAAATTGTCACTCAACGATTTGTAATATTCTAAACTCGTTTTTTTCTGTTAAAAATCGATAATATTTTGAGTTGAATGCATGTTAACCTATTAATTGTGATATGATAAATTTGATATTAGAATCTCAAACGACTATTATATCTCAGTCATCATGTTAAAGTCCAACTTAGACAACCACCATTCTTTTAATAAAAAAGAACGAGTTTGGAACATAATAAATAGCCGAATGACTATTTTGTAACTTTTAATAGTCGAATGACTTCACAAAACAACATTCTATAATCGAATGACCATTTTATAACTTTTAAAAATCAAGGTACTTAATAAAACAATACCCAATAGTCGAGACTATTTGTGTACTTTATCCTAAAGGATATGAAATTTAAAAATATTAATAATGGTGAGAATTGGAAATCTGTTCTCATCGAATAGGTTTCTTTGTCTCCCCCTCCTTAGATTTCAAGGCCTTCAACATTGAAACACAAAACACACATACACAACCATGGCCATGGACCCAACGGACCAACCACCTCCACATCAATGTTCAGCGTCGTCGTGTCAATATGGACAACCGGCTCCGCCATCATCTGCCGGTCCCGTCACCACACCGAACCAACAATATCCTATGCAAAATCATTACATGCACCCTGCCGGGAAAGTCCTTTGGTCCACAGGAATCTGACTGCTGCTATGATATTCAAAACTGTAAGCATTTTAACCTAACGTTTCATTTTAAGTTGATTAAATGAAATTCATTAATTGATTAACAATCAAACTTATCACTGACATGACATGTCATATGTGTCCAAAGTGATAGTGTGTCATTCCAAATGTCTAAAGTGATAACATGATAACATGACATGTGATACATCATCACTTTAGACACACAAAACTTATCACGTGATAAGCATTAGCCATTACTCAATTAATAATTTTTATCTAATGTTTTTTATTTACTTAGGTATCATCACAATGTTTTGTCCTTGCATCACCTTTGGGCAAATTGCTGAGATTGTCGATCATGGATCAGTCTGTAAGCTTCTTTATCTTATATCTTGCCACCAGGGATGAGCAGGGCGTGGCTAAGAGCGTGCAGGGTGGGCGACCACGCAGGGCTCAAAAAATAGGGCCCCAAAATCGAGTATATGTATCAGTTGTTGCCATTAAGAAGCATAAAAATAGGGGCCTCGAAATCGAATATATCTAGAAAATAGAAACCCCTTTATAAGAATTTGAACAGGACCCTCGACAACCTAGCCACGGCCCTGGGGATGAATATACGTATTTAATCCTAATTTCGTTCATGTTTGTCACGGTTTGATTTAATCGAACCGAAACACAGCATGCATAGCAAATGGAATTGTTTACTCGGCAATCCTATGGTTCTCGGGGCTAGCTTGTTTGTATTCATGCTTCTACCGCACGAGAATGAGGCATCAACTCATGTTGGCCGAGACACCCTACCCAGACTGGTGCATTCACATTTTCTGCGAGCAATGCGCATTGTGTCAAGTATTCCGCGAGCGCCAGAACCACGGCTTCGACATGTACCTCGTAAATGCAACACTCACGCTATACTTTCATGTAGAGACGAATGTAAAATTTATGTTAAAGGCGATTTTATAAACATGTATTAAAGTAGTGGGTTTATATGTATATATAGGATGGATGCGAATATGGATAAGTTCCAACGACAGGCGATGCAAATGCCGGCGCCGCCGGTGGTGGAAGATGTGATGAAAAGATAAAAGAAGAAGAGAGTGATGATCCTTTTCTTTTAGTGTTGAGTTTGATTCATGGCGACAAATATTTTCGCAGTTTGCTGTTACTATGAAATGTTCATTTTGTCTTAGGTTTTCATATTATAATTCTCCAGCTTTTTGGGACTCATTTCTCTCTCTCTTTTGTTTCCCAGTCATAAATGTTTTGGATGGTTATTGTTAATATATATTGGGTATGAATATTTCACTATGTGATTATGTTATGCTCATCTTTTAATTATACATAAAGGGGTAAGGGTCGGGGCGAAATTAGGCTCGTAAACGAATTGAACGTTCAAGGAATCGTTCGACAAATTCGTTTGTGTTAAATGAACAAATATGAATAAATTTTGTGTTCATTTAATTAATGAACGAACACAAAAATATGGCTTGCTCGTTCAGTTACGTTTGTGAACATAATCCGTTCATTTATATATTCGTTCATTTATGTTTGTTTATGTCATTAATATTTAGTCCAATCTCGAGACTCGTTTAAAATATTAAGAACTAATAAATTTTAACCTTAAACCATTAATATTTTAAAACCTAATTAATTTTAAACTCATAAAAAGATACTCAAATCAATTAAAGAAAATATAAATCCTAAAATTATTGGGAAAGAAAAAATTCTACTCAAATTTAAATTCAATTAATTTTATGTTCGTTCGTTTTACGTTCGTTCATTTGTATTCGTTTATCATTTTAAAGAATGAACATGAGCGAGCATGAACAAGCTACGTTCCTTAATGAAAGAACACAAACAAATCATTTCGTTTGTGTTAGTTGTTCGTGGTCGTTCATTTGTTCTATTAAAATTAAATGATCGAACATAATATACCCTCATTTGCGTTAATTATTTTTATATAAAAATATCGTTAATTGTTGTTAAAAGAATAATCGACCTATTAAATTAATAGGTAAAACATACAAATGGTCACCCAAAAGATGATTTTTTCCTTAAATTTTATAAAATAGTTTCTTGATTATTGGGTGTTATACTATTCTATTAAGTACCTCAATTATTAAAAGTTATAAAATGATCATTAAATTATTCACATGTTCTAAACTTATTTTTTTTCGTTAAAAAATTAACAGTCATCTGAGTGAGATGTTGGCTTGAATTTAATAAAATCATATTTTAATGATGTCTACTACATCGCCGTTGCTTTCAAGCACTGACTCGACGTCATAATATTTCAAGCACTAGCTTAGCGACATAATATAAATGAAGAGTCAATTCATAAAATACAACTCGTACATTTTTTAGACAAGATTTTATCATATCTCAGTTAACATCTAACTCAGATAGTCGCCAATTTTTACTAGAAAATGATAAGTTTAAATATTTGAATAGTCGAATTATATTTTGTAACTTTAACCGTCGACTTAATAAAATAATATCATATAATCAGAATTTATTTTATAAATTTTAATAATTAATACAATTAATAAAGTAATACTCTATAATCGAAATAATTAGATCGTTGATTAATTAATAATATTCCATTCAACTCCATTACTCGAAAGCATGGAAAGACAAGACAGGAGCAAAAAGGAAGGGCCAGCTTTAGACTACTGAGTGGTAGTTGGGGGCCACATCAGATAAGACCCTTCTTTCGACACCGTGATTACCGCTCGTTTGCCTCCGAGGACATAAAATGTAGGGTAAATTGCACATGTAATATTCAAATTATCAATTTTGATTCGTTTTAATATCTAAAAATTTTTTTAAAACTATATCTAAGGTTAAGATTTTATTTCATTTCAATACTCCGTCTTTAAAAACTTAATGCGTTTAGTATTTAACTATCAATATTGATCAATTTTAATACTTAAACTTTCAATTTTTTTAAAACTTAACGTTAAATTTTGAACGGATACTAAAATGAAACAAAAACTCAAATTTTTATCGGTGGGTAGTATTACTGAAATGAAATAAAAACTAAATTTTAAGTATGATTTTAAAAAAATTGAAAGTTTAGATCCTAAAATAGATCAAAACTGATAGTTTAAGAACTACACATGTAATTTACCCTAAAATTTAAGCCTTAGGGGACTCTTCCCCTTGAGAAACGCCATTGATTCGTCATCAAGCTTGTTTTTTCAATACTAATGAGTTCTAGAAATGCCAAAAAAACCATGGTTGGTACAAATTCAAATCGACATACTAAACTAGCTACGACAAGGACCAACTGCTTCTTCTTCTTCCTGAAATTGTCAAATCAAGATGAGTTTTTTGCTTCAAAAGAAATCAAAACACAAAAGCATAGCATCCTAAGAAGAGAGAGAGAGAGAGAGAGAGAAACCAGTCTTTCCAATCAATACTTTATTTTTAATTCATTGTGTTTCCTCAACCCCAAACCCCACAAATTAAAAAAAGCCAAACATTTTACTTCACGTTTATAGCTGTGTGTTCTTTTAATACACTTGCCTCTCTTTTTTCGCTTTTAAGGCATTTTATCAAACGAGTGGCACGCATAGCATTGTCAATTGGTGAATCAAGAAGCTTTTTTTTTCTCTCTTCCGTTTGCTTTTTAGCTTCTTTGATCTTTACTTTTTCTGGGTATTTCTTATATTGTCGGGAAATTGAAGAAAGAGAGAGAAAAAGAAGGTGAATATGGATGGAGCGGAGTTGGAGTTGGAGAGGAGAAGCAAATTCTTGAGCAGTTTGATTCAAAAGAAGAAAGCTATAGAACAACAAGATCAAACTGAACGTCTTAATGTTAGAGTCAGAGCTTCTGATATGCCTTTAGCTCTTCAAAACAAGGCTTTTAAATGTGCTCGAGACCAGCTTGATTATATGCCTGGGAAGCTTGACAGTAAACGCCTAGCCCTTGCACTTAAGAAGGTTAAAAAACCAAACTTTATCCTCCTTTTTCCTGTTACAGTGATTCTTTGGTTAAATTCTTCTTCTTCTTTTACATGAAAACAGGAGAATTAATGGGTTTGTTTAGATTTCTCATTTTTAGCATGGTGTTTCACTGTTTTGGTAAAAGATATTGGGTAAGCTTGAATGTTATGGTTGGATTTAGCTTAGTACTATGCTTTAAACCCTGCTTAACCACTTATTCCAACTGCAAGATGATGTAGCTTAGTAGCTTTGATTCATTGCAGTCAAGGGCGCTAATGGTCCTTGTGAGAAGTGAAGTGTCCATAGAATTTGATCATCTACTGTTCATGCAATGTTTCAAAATACAAGGATACGCTTGCTTTCAGTGTAACCTCTCATCTGACTTAGAGTAGTTACTTGTGTGTCGGAGAGATAGTGTATTTAGTTCCGTCGTCCGATCCTTCTTCCCAGAGATGATGATGAATCTGCTTGTATATAGTTTTGGTTCTAGCTTGTGAGGCACTAACACACTTGTTCTTGTGCAGAAAATGATACTGAAACAGTGAGAGTGCTTTAACTAGTATAACATAAGGTTGATCTTTGATTCAGTGTTCTGGTTAATGCTTTGCTAAAACCATTTAGTATAAAATCTTTTGGAGTTCAATATTGATTTTTAACTTTTACTATGAATTGAATCGACCATCGACCATGACGACGCTTCCGTTGGCTTTTTCAGGAATTCGACTCGACATACGGTCCTGCTTGGCACTGCATTGTGGGAACTAGCTTCGGTTCATACGTGACGCATTCACTGGGAGGTTTCTTGTACTTTTCAATCGACAAGGTTTACATTCTTCTCTTCAAGACCGCAGTCGAGCCATTAGATCACTGATGATTTCAACAGATTTGTGTGTTCTACACAGTTCTTGTGCTGGTAACAAATTTACAAAATTTCCATTTTGAAGTTACATGTACAACTACAGAGTGCAGAACTGATAAACATGTCTATTTTTTTCGGTTCATACGTGTACTTGTTTCAATCGAGTAGGTGCGGATCAACAATCATCTGTTTGTGGATTCTAAGTAAATTGGCTTTGAATCTTGTCAATGTTTCTGCTATTCCTCTTTGTAGCTGTAAATTATTCAGCTGCACACACCAGAATGCACTGGTTTAACCCCTGCTGGAGTAAAAACACCAGTGCAGAAGCTATCCGACCGCCAACACGGCCCGAGAAGTCTTTGGATAACGGCATCGGCAACATGAAGAAAGAACTTCTTTAAAGGATTCGATACTACATTCGAACACTTTCAAATCAATTATCTTGAAACAATCTCTTGGTTTCTTTTGTAAAATAATCCAATGACAATAAACCAAATCAATCTGTGTTCAGTTACATTTGCCACCTTCAACACAACTCCGATGGGAGAAACAAAATCGGGTTCGCTGCAAATATTCCAGAGATGGATTCCGAAAATTTCGAATCGTTTGAATGCTGTCATAACCTAAAGGAGTACTACAACCAAGTACTACAAGAAAACAGTGGCCATATGGAAAACGCAAATGCCTATTATTATCACAGAGGTTGTGAGTGAACCACTACCATAGAAATACTGGGGTGGATAGCCCGAATTAGTGTCATTCGATGAAGGAGCCAGTGATGTGCCGTTAGTTATGGTGCCGTTTTTTCCGAAACTACAGACAAAATCGAAGTGATATTATCATCAGCATTCATTAAAGAAATCGTGAATGCATAGGGTTGAAGGAGTAGTAAAGATTAGGAGGAGTAGTAAAGATTAGGAGCATCGATGCATACCTTCCGGGAAATACACATGAACCGTGACCTGCACCAATGAACGACATTAGTAAGTCGATAGGTTCCGGTAGATTTATTCTATTAGAACAAATATTATAGTCACATACTTGGATCAGTTGTAGTGATGGTAGCCACCCCCTTGAAATCACAGGTTCCGATGGACTTCCCCATCCGCTGGAAATATGCATTGAAAGCATAGGACGAATGGGAAACCACGTTATCAGGCTCGTAACACGGCCGCCCCTGCAACAAAGGCGAGCAATCGACTTTTCCTGGACCACATGCCCAATCAAGAGCCGCTTGTAACATCTTTGGATCGGCACCCTCCTTTGCAACACAAAAAGTTTGATTCGTCGTGTCGTTTGCGAAAACAGTACCAGCACCTGTCAAGTGTAAAATATAAACCGGTACTCCATTGGCATCAAACAGCCCCCAGTTCTGTTCTGTGGCTGGTCCAGGTACCAAATCCTCATTGTAAAGTTCATAAATATAAGTACTAACTGCGATCCCGGGGTGTTTAGGCGTCCCGGTGTTGTTAATTACATGCTTGATCAAGTTACTGTTGTATGTATTAGCATTGTCAACAGTAGCATCGGTCTCGGACGAATCACCCTTAGAAGGCCATCCGGACTCTGTTACTACAATCGGAACGTTGGTGATGTTTAAATAAGACATCGAGAAATATGATGCATCAACAATAGCGTCAAAGACATTAGTGTAATGCAGGAGTGTGTTAGCATCCACGGCTTCTTTGTTTGGAGGGAGAGGCCGGAAAAGCGCATAGTCCAACGGGATCACGCCATTCGATTGCATGTAATCATAATACGGATATACGTTGAGCATAAGGTATGACCCGGTAGACTGCAAAAACTTTAGCAACGGGACCATGACGGGATCCCATGACCGGTTAAAAAAGGCTTGAGAAGGTGGAAATGAGTCCAGAATAATCGAAGACGAATGCGGAGTGGAGACTTTGATTTGGCTGTCGAGATTAGAAGCGACGAGGGCAGAGTGGATGAACTTTAAGGCAGAAACTAGGACCGGAGCAGCATTCGGGAGCGCGGTTAACACTTCCGATCCGACGGCTATTGCCGTTATGTTGGTTGCAGGGACATGGGATATAATATTACGAGCCACCCAGTTGGCCGCAGTGGCATTCGATTGACCGATACCAAGGAGCAGCTCATTGGGGACGGACACGGTCACTTGGATGCCTGTGTTGGCAAGTGCGAGAAGCATAGCTCGATCAGCATCGTAAAGCCTCACATGTCGGACATTCTGAGATTCGAGAAGGGCCACCACTTGAGTAGGGCTGGGCATGTCGGACAGGTCCGTACCAATGTTCACACCGATAAAGGCTTCTGCTCATGAAGATCCATTGACCAACGTTAAGTTAAACATATATATATATATGATCATGTCCTTTTCATTACAATTCTTCAAAACAACTAAAGGAACCATTCAACAACACATCAAACATGACATAGCATCATCCATCATCATCATCATAACAATAATAACCAAAGCACATGACCAACACATGTATATGATAATTTCTTTCTAATTACAATTCTCCCAACAACTAAAGGAACCATTCAACAACACATCAAACATGACATAGCATCATCCATCATCACCATCATCATAATAATACCAAAGCACATGAACTACACATGTATATGATAATTTCCTTTTCATTACAATTCACCCAACAACTAAAAGGAACCATTCAACGACACATCAAACATGACATAGCATCATCCATCATCATAATCAATACCAGAGCACATGAACTATTCAGGAAGTGATGGGATTCTACACAAAATATACGGGACCAACAAGGCCAAGACGTTAACTTTACACCATAGAAGATGACAATACTACCCTCGTGTACACATATTCCCAAGATGCCACAACAATTACAGGCAACAACTTTAAACACTTGGAGGCCTCCCATGAGGTCATTTTGGTCCTACAGAATATCATGTGCTGGAATGCATTATTAGCTGAGATTCCAATGGTGAAAGGAAAGACTTTCAAAGGCCTCTGCTTTGACAGAAAAGTAGTCAATACCCCAAAGGGAAACAGAGCAAAACAGAAGCACCCTCAAGCACAAACATGGCCACAGACAAATATATAAAACAGAACACAGATAAAGCCTAAGGGTTGTGCAAGAAGTAGACTACAGTTTCAAAGATACTAACCTTCATCGCCCGAAACAGCCCAGACAAGCAAAAACAGCAGGAAAATAGCCATTTGAGCGAAAGCTTCAATCTTTCAAAACTATGCAAATTAGAAAGCTCTTAACTTCAAAAAAACAAGAGAATCCCAGGCTTTGGAAGCAGAGACATAAAACAAGAGGAGAGGAGGAGCTGTTATTTTCTAGTCTTAGTTTACTGGTGCAAGGAAAGTGAGGGGGGGTTATGTTCCTTTGTATTTTACTAGCCTCGAATCCTCGAGATAACGATCAGATTTTTGTGTCAGAAATCCGACGGTCCAGATTCAAAGGCGAATACGAAGTAAATTCACGGTATACGAGTATAAAAATACTGTCTTGTTGATGATATGGCATGTTAAATTGAATTCAACGGTTATATCCCGACAAATCTGCTCTTTTATAAATTGTGTTATTTTCTTAAAATAACATTATTTTCTTCGTATAATTTATGTCTTATCTTGATTATACATGTAATTTAAGGATAAGTGACCATTAATTAAGGATAGATCGAGGGAAACGAAAGTTGATTGTTGTGACGGTGATCAAACCGGACAGACACCATTTTGGGCCATTGGCACGCCTCATTTCATGGCACTGAGTGTGATAGCGTTTGGTTAGGGGTGTTGGTTGTGCCGCTTGAATTTGACTCGATCAAAATTTGGTAAAAATTCAACTCGGATTAACTCGATTTGAACTCGAGCTCGACTTGAAACTTTAACGAGTTGAGTTGAGCCGAGCAAAATCCAACTTGTCTCAGTAAGTTCTTAAATAGTTCGTTAATTTTTTAGTAGTTATCTTAAAAAATATTTTATTAAAAAAATACTAATTTACCAATAGATAATAAAAGGATGATAAATTATTAATCAATTAATTTTCTAATAAAAAATAAAAATATTAAATATTAAATTAATATTTTACTACACCTAAAAATCAAACTTTATTTATTATTTTAATATTTTTATGAATTATTACTTTGGAATTCAGACTTTGAAATTGTTTCATAGATTGTTTTGATAATTTTTGGCTAAATTTATTAAATTATATTTATATTAAGCTCTATATAGTATTATTAGATTTTACCTATAGTTAAGAAAATATGGTAAAAATTTCGATGAACTTAACATGCAACGAGGTGGCAACGAGCTTAAAGAGCAACAAACTTAACGAGTAACGAGTCGAGCAACAAATTTTTTTAAAGAGCACGAGTCGAAAAATTTTTTAATGAGCTTACGAACAACAAGTCGAAGTGAACAACACAATTCTTTAACGAACACGAGTCAAACACCGCCCAACTCGTGATCGACTCGCCTAAACGCCACGGAAGCTACCAACTTTCCACCAACCAAGAGTCATATGCATACTTATATCACACGAGTCTTTCAAAAACTTGACTTCTTCGAACGACCACAAGAGTTTTTGACATAATCTACGATAGATTCACTTGATTTGATAGAACGAAATCTAAGATTAGACTATCAAATCTATATAATCTTGTCCTACATATAGCTATAATAAATTCATGATCAAAACGCACCGAAGATCACTATAAATACTCTCAATCAATACATTAAAATAGACGGGATCCTTGAAACCTCTATTGTTCCCTTCTTGTCTTTCTCATGGCCTACCCTCTTCATCTTCTCCACGTTCGACCTAGAAGAAGTGAACCGCTCACGATTGACGAAATTTATTCGTTCCCGTCAACGGTTAGTAATTAAAGTACCCAAAAGGACTTACCCATATTGCCAGATGCATTGCCACCACCATAGAATGCAGCATGGCCACCTTGCCATCCTCCCCCATAGTCACCAAAAGCGCCTCGCAAGCAAAGATTGAAGACAAAACGAGGAACAAAAAGCTCTTCTGTTAAACTTGGGTTCCTTTGCAGTTACTATGCATTAAGAAGGCTATCTCATGTGACAAAACGATGTCAGTTCAATTGAACAACGTGTCACATCAATATTTCATTACTCTCAATAACGACAAAGGATCGATTTGCTATAAATCAATAATATCCTCTTCTCCCATGGTCGAGAGATTTGAAGGAAATTGTACTTGGGTTATTTGTGTTCATATGGTCCCGGTGGTCCCATGGCAATGTAATGTCTACAAAATAAATTATTTGGAAAAAAAATCACAGATATTAAAAAAACGTGACAATTAAACGGCTGAGCGGAATATATATAAAATATCTGTTTAGAATTTTCTTAATATATTATCGATATTCAACAGTCACCCAGCTGAATAAGACAAGTTCTAACTAATGCATTATTTCTACCATGTAACGACAATTGAATGGGGTTACATAGTAGTTAAAACATTCATATTAACAATATAAACTTACACCAACTAGTTGTGTTCATAAACCATGGAGTTCGGTGGATTCCGGCAACGATCATGCGCTCGATTCCAAGGTAGTTGCATAATCTATCGACTTCTTGAAAGAATTGTATGGTGATGCTGCATTCATTACCCTACAACAGCAAATAACAGAGATTTATTCTAGGCATCGAGATTCGATCGATTGTATTTAACAATTATAGCGTTTTCACGCTACCCTGAAGTCTCTCACTTAGTTGCTCATAAGCACTAATCCCTGTGGCCAACAACTAAGATATCAAAGGAAGGTAGCCAATCAGTGTGCCTTAAACCTCAAGCCATTAACCCCAAGGACTATTATATCGCATCCCATGAATCTATCGGTTTTTTGGCTTTCTACGACAATGCAATCTAAACGTGGTCGACTAGTAGTTTGAAATAGTTTTGAGAACAAAAGTATCTCGCCTACGAACTAACCTTTCCTTGCGCTTCTGCAAAAACCGAGCCAAGGAAGCTTTGCGAGCCTGTGGAACTAGAGGCAAACAATTCAAAGTAAGTTATAAACAAAATTAGCCAAAAATATGCATGCAAGAAGAGAAAATCTTGCAAGAGCATGAGAGCATATACTAGAAGGCATCATGCCAGTGGCAGCAACAGATCCCATGGAATTCGCCAACATTGGAGGCTCAAATCTGCTAATAGGGGTAGATAGTGTTGGAGTCTCCGAGGTCTTGCATATCATCTGATCTTCGGTACTAGTGGAGCCACTCCCGGACTGAGCAGAAACAGCATGAGGGCTCGACGTACCAGAGTTTAATTGTGTATTTATGATATGGTTTGCAGGAACACTTTCAACTTGAACTGGCTTCAAAATCGGTGCCTGAACTTGAGCTTTTGGATAAGCCGAATTAGATCCAGCCAAGAACATTATAGCCTGAGCCTGGATAAGATACAAAAAAGAAGTTAACTTTCGAAGCTTTCCACCGACTTAAAGATCGTTAAAACAAAGTAATTTTGGTAAAGAAAGAAGAGCACCTTCTCAGGGGTAATATCATCAAAGACATTCACTTCACCCGCATAAAAGATCGTCAGTTGAGCGGGTGATCCAGAGGTCTTGACGCTTTTCCTAATCATAAAATAAAATTTAGAACCAAGTCTCAATATCTTACTGTTAACAATATTGCTGCAGTAACTGAACTAAAGCATACGAATTTCAAGTTTACCAAGGTTCAACACTTCCAAAAACAGAACCAAGTGTGGGAAGAGTCGTATGTGGACCCGTCACCGGAATCCCTCTGAGTAATTGCGGTCTCATGCTATTAACAGGCAAGTTTCGACCAGCGGTAGCGTAATGATTCTTCATAAACTGTACATGGTTCGAGGCCGGAAACATCTTACCATCATGTAGAACACAAGAAGGTGTCATTGAGAAATGACTCCCACCTATCCTACCATGGTAGAATGATTTCTGGACAGTAAATTAAGGTGTCATTGGAACGGGGAAAAGCGAAAAACGATATCAATTCGAGAGCTTTCCAACAAAAACACATGTAAATTAAGGTGCATCTCTATCTGGCATAATGAAATGATGCCTAAAGAAAGATCATTCCTCTCGCAACTCAAGCTAAAGACTCGATCGAAACGGTAATCAAGCAGCTTAATCCACAACAGTAAAAGCAAACCTGAAGTTCAGTGGCATCCATTGTTGAGGTAGGCATGAACAAAGGGCCAACCATTTTAGCTTTGTCCCCTTGAGCAAAATTAAAGCTCATCAGCTGTGGAACAGCACAAACCTTGTCTGAAAACGGCCATCGAATCCCTGAGCTTTTAGTAAAACCTAAACCCCCCCCAAAACAAACCGCTAAAATTAGATAAATGCACAGCTATAACAGGCACAACTCTAATTTGACATAATCATCTATAAACAATCACCAGTAACTAAATGCTTACATGATTCCAATTTATTAATAGATTTATAGATAATCATCAAGAACCAAACTTTTAAAGAATTTCCAGAAAAAGATAAAAGGGAAGAGCACATGCACCTGTTTCCTTTACCATAACCCACGGTTCTTTTGAATCCAAACCCAAGAAATCTCTCTCCATGGTTCTTTGACTCTCTTGAATTCAAAATTCAAGCAAAACCCACCTCAAAAATCCAACCAGAAACATACATAAACAAAAATAATTCAATAAAAAGTAGTAAAGGCAAAGAAAGACGTTGTTTTATAGCATAAATCCGCCAAAACTTCACGTTCTTTAAAGAATTGTTCATTTGCACAGTGAAATTTGAATTCCTACTGTTTAGACAACCGTGAGGATTACCGGGAAAAAACGTTAAGGTAACTGGGTAAGCCGGTAACTCAACACGTGCTTTGTGCTTTAATTACCGGCTACCAGACACCACTTGTCGGTGGTGACTGTCATTGGTCTGAGAGGTTGACACGTGTTCATAAGACGTGATGAAGTTTTCTCCTCCTTGCTCGTGAATTGATTGCAATTGAATTGCCCGATTTTAAATTTGAGTAAACTACGTTTTAGTACCTAAATTATCAATATTGATATGTTTTGGTATCTAAATTTTTAATTTATCAAAATCACACCTAAAGTTTAGTTTTTGTTTCATTTTAGTATCTGTTTAAAATTTAATATTATATTTTAAAAAAAATGAAATTTTGGGTACTAAATAGACAAAAACTGATAGTTTAGGTATTAAACGTGTTAAGTTTTTAACGTTCAGGTTAGGGCTATAAATGAGACGAGACAGACCGTGAGTTATTCGAGATCGACTTAATCAAAGCTTAATAAATACTCGACTCGATTGGACTCTGATTGACTCAAAAAGCTCACAAACAACTCGAAAATATAATATATTAAGATTTTATCTTTAAAAAATGTATTATTAATAATGTTAACATCTACGTGTTATTTTGAGTTTGAGTTTGATTTTTAGGCTTCAATCGAGTTAAGTTTAATATTTTTGTTCATTTTGAGCTTTTACGAGCTTCAATTTATGGTTTAAGGTTCGAGTCGAGTTTGAAAATTTTATGCTCGAGAGTTTTCGAGTCGATTCGAGCTCCATTTTAGAGTTTTCAAGTTTTCGACTTGGCTCGTTTACAGTCCTAGGCGGTGCACTAAAATAAAATAAAAACTAAACATTAGATATGATTTGAAAAAAATAAAAGTTTAGGTACTAAAACAAACTAAAAGAGATAGTTTAAATAGTAAATGCGTAATTTACTCTTTAAATTTTGAGTACTTTTGGTGGCCGACTAATCGGGAAATAACTGCGTGGAAATCGCCGATTTTGAGTAATTTTGACTTGCTTACTAATAAGCTTAATATTTGTTTAATCAAATTAAATAAATAAATATTGTTTCAACTTTTGAGGTCTAATCTTAATCAAGTTTAATATGAATTATTGAATTATTTTTTAAATTATAAAATGGGTAAATTACACTGGTAACCACTAAATTATAGTCAAAAATCACTTTAACTACCGATATTTCAATTTGGGTGGTCTTGATTGAGCCTTTTAAAAATATTGAGTGGTCTCTTTGATCAAATTACAACATTGGTGATCAAAATGACTTTTGATTATAATTTAATAGTCACCTGTATAGTTTACCCTTATAAAATTTCCAATGTAGTTTATCTCCATACGCAATATAAAATTATTTTTATTTTACATGAAAAACGTGACTAAATAACTAATGGATGTATATATCAGCATTTGGGTGGTCATCCCTTTGATAGCAGCTATTGTCCTATATATACCAAGTTTATATTTCAATGGCCACCACAAATTCTACACGGGAAAAAATACCTAATAGAATGAAAGAATTTGTTATTAATTTTCGTTCATATTTTGCTCACTAAACTATAAAATAAAAACAGAAGGTGACTAGATGTCTCTGTAGATGGTGGTTTTTCGGTCCCAAATTTCATGGGTCGCATCACCTAGACACTTTGAGTTCAAATCCAACTTCTTTTTGTCGGAACTTGCTACGAAGTCCACAAAATGAAGATTAAAAGTGAGGAAATTGAAACATTTGAATCGAGATTCATGATTTTTGGGATATTTTCTAGTGAAACAACCACCAGATTTAGACTCAGGGGTCTAGAAATGATATTAGAAGTGTTTTATGTTATTTAGAGATTGATTTGGATCAATTTGGAGCATTGAGTTAGAAAAAGGGTTAGTATATAAGTTTTGAGAATTGTGGGATATTATTGAAAGAATGTAATATTTGGAGGATTCAATGCTGATTTTTGATAGTTGAAATGCTGGAAATTTAAATTAAAAAGTTGGGTGGAATCAAATTGTAAGTTTGATAAAGTTGAGGGTGGAATTTGAAAAGTCTAAGTATTATAGGGACTTGACTTCAAGTTTATTAAATGTGAAAGTATCATTTGGATAAATTAATGTAATGCTGGAAATTTATTTAATATGCTGATTTTTGGGTTTAATTCTTAAGTTGAGATTTAATTCTAATTTTATCAAGTTGTTTGGTTGAATTTGAAAAGTCTAAGAAAATTTAGGATGAAATTGCAAGTTTTTGAATGTTTAAGTGTTGATTTAAATATTTTATTGAGATGCTAAAAATTTTATGTGATTAATGTGAAATGATCATAATGGTGAATGGTCATTATGGATTAAATAGAAAAATTGATATGAACTCTAAAAAGAATTCATAATTAGTAGTTAGATTACGAAATTAGTAAAAGTTGAAGAGTGATAGTGAACTAAATATTCATGAAATTTAAGGAATTGAGAAGTTTGAAATTATGATGGAATTACGATTTTATATCGATTTAAGTATTGATTTTATTTTTATCGAATTTTATATTTAAGTTTAAATTACGTTAGTTCGATACTAACATATAACTTGAATATTTTATGATGTTATATGACGTTGTCAAACTACGGTAAATTTAGTAATCCAATTAACTCAAAAGATAAGGAAAATATGCAAAATTAGAAGATTATTATAAAGAAGATTCGATGATTCGATAATGAGACAAATGTGAGTGTATTTAACTTGTGTTTATGTTAACGAACAAACATTGACTTGCGATGAGGCAATGTCGGAGTTACATTAAGAAGTGACTTCTAATGTATGATAAGTGTGATTCAATCTTATATGTTCATTTGGAAAGCTAATAGAATTAGTGAATAAGTTAAGGATGCAAGTTGGTAAAATCTGCGTAGAAATTATGTTTTGAATATTAAGTTTAGAAAATTACCAGAAATTCTTAAAAAATAATTGAAGGATGAATCTTATACTATTGGATTTCTATATCAGTCTAGTTTCATTTAGAACAAAAGAAAACTTATATCGAGGTGTATATAAAAGATATAAATTTTTAATCGATGATAGGTCAGAAATAGAGAAGTAAATTCTGCTCAAAATAGCTTATGTCAATTAACTTTGAAAATTCACTATAAATTGTATAAGTCGAACTAGATAGATTGCCTTATATGGTTAGATTCATATTCTAGTCTAGTTTTTAGTAGTGCAAACGAAATAATTTTTCAGTATATATATTAATATATAATAATGTTTGTTTGAAGATAGTGCAAACTGTTAGAATATGAAATTTTGATAAATTTTGTAGTGAGACTAGTTGAAGGCAAAAGATTTAAATCTAAAGCTTAGTGAGGTTTTTATTTTGATTTAAAAATAAATAAATAAAATGTTAAAGTGAGTGCATATTATTTATTTAATTATTATAATCGATGACGACTTGCGAAAAGTCAATTTTATTTTACCTTACATTATGATTTATAAATTTTCAGTATGGAATATTTCTATAATATTTTTCATCAAGTTTTATGAATGATTGTGGGTATGAATTGTTCAAATATGATATTTATGATGATGAATTTTAAATGTTTACAATTATCAAATGATTTTCAGTTATCAGATATTTACAATTACCATATATTTACAGATATCATATATCAGATGTTTTACAGTTATCAGACACAGATGAATAAATGATTCTATGATGATACATATAAGTCCATTTTATGTTGCATTGAGAGTCATAGGTACATTTGACATGTCATTTAGTGAGTACTTTTCAGTTATTAGTTCAGCTTTGGTACATTCATGTACTAATGTTCAGCACCGTTGGTGCTCAGGTTATGATTGTACTGAAGTACATCATATCGCAGTTTCAGTTATAATTCGGCACCGTTGCGCCTAGTACGCACCTTAAACTCACGTACCTTATATTATCTTACATATACATTGGACTATAGCAGTAAATGTGAAAGTTATGACAGTATATGAAAGAAAGGAACTTAGAATTGTAAAGAAAGTTTTGAAATATTTTTGAATAAATAGAACACAAGTTATTTATGATATTTGATGTTGATTTATATGATTTTTGATAAAATCCCGAGATTATGATTTTCAAGTTTTCAAGAGAAAAACGACTTGATTAGCCTGGTTTGAGGTTTTAATGTTTTTATTTAAATTATATTTTATTTCTTTATTTTATGGAATTTATGTTTTATATCATGTTAACTTTATTATTGTCTCACTAAGTTTTACTTAGCGCGTGATGATTTTCATGCGTAGTTTCAAATAAAATAGAGGATATGAAGTGAGGAGCTTGCCAGTATCTTATGAAAATCAAACCTACCGACAGTTTCAGTAAGACATCATAACTTTGACTAATTAGTGACATGTACATTATATCCACTAGGTTGCTTTATTATATTCATATTTTTAAAAGGACATGCATTAGAAACTATGATTATTTTCTTTAATTTTAGCTCATTTTTAGTATTAATCGTATTTATGAATGAATAATATAAATATTATATTTTTAAATGTTTTAAAAATTAATCAGTATTTAAGGTTGTGATATATATATATAGTTATGATCAGCTCTGAATTGTTTACTTACTGACTAAAATTGGATTTGTTTTTCAGTGATTAAATATTATTTTATGATTTTATACGAATAAGATAAAAGTTTAAAAATTGAAACAGTCAAAGTTTAAAAAGAAACGAGATTTTAAATCTTTATGCATAGTAAATGTTTATCAAATTAGTGTGATATTTGTGATTTGTATTACGGTAGATATATGGACTATGGGTGTTTCAGTTTGAGACAGTAATCATTACTGACATAAGTAAAAACGGTAGAAAAACTCGATAAAAAAATAATATTTTAGATATCGCTTTATCGAAAATATTTTTTTACCAGATTTTTCTACCGCAATTACCTATATCGGTAATTGAT